TTTAAAATGCTTATAGCATCATGCTTTAAAAATAATAAACAAAAGCTATTAATTTAAGAGGAATTAAAAGCTAAGATTTTTCAATATACTATTTACTATTCGATAATCGAGTTTTAACTTTATTATCTTTCATAATATATTTTTTATATTTCCATTCTTCTCTTTTTCAACTTATTTAAATTGGCTTTCGTGTATGCTTTCTTTTTCTTCTCCTGCTTGATCCAATTTTTCTTATTATTCATTCTCTTCTAAGTGATCTTCACCCTCGTCTTCTTCTTTTACTTCTTTTACTTCTTCCTCTTCTTATTCTTGTTCTTATTCTTGTTTTTATTCTTCTTCTTCATCTTCTCTTCCTCCTCTTCCTTTCTTCCTCTTCTTCCTCCTCTTCTTCTTTTTCTTTCTCATCTTCTTCTTCTTATTCTTTCTCTTCTTCCTCCTCTTCTTTTTCCACCTCTTCTTCTTCCTCCTCTTCTTCTTCCTCCTCTTCTTCTTTTTTTATCTTCGCCTTTTTCACCTTTTTTATTCTTTTGCTTCCCCTTACACGTCTTTTTTCCTTTTTAATTTTTGGTCTCTTCTTAATTATCTTCATTTTACTTTTCTTCCTCTTAATTATATTCGTCTTCGCCGTTTTCATCATCTTATTTGTTCTTTTTCTTTTCCTTCTTCATCTAATTTTTTATTATTCTTTCTCTTCCTAACTACATATTTTCATCTTACTTTTCTTATTCTTATTATTCGTTTTACTCTTCTTCGTCTTTTTCTTTTGTTTTTTCTTCTTGGTCTCCTTATTATTCTCTCCCTTTCTTTTCTACTTATATTTCCTTTTCTCCCTTTTTGCTTATTCTTCTATTTCTCGTAAACGCTTAGGTCGACCTTAGCAAATACTTTATTTTTGGTACTCATCGGATATCAAATAAAGGAAGTTATAGCAAAAACCATAGAACTACAGTGAACTCGGGGTGGCATGAACATAGGGTAACATGAACACTCGCTCGGGTGAACAGTCTATTTTTTATATTGGCTACTCTGTAGTATGAACGATTGAAACGCTGTATAGCGTTAACATTTTAATTCTCAAAAATGGAATGATTAAAGAGCATAAAAACATGAAAAAAACAAAGAGAAAAAGTAACTTTAAATCATATATTGGTTACACATCTGCTGCAGAATTGGTTTTGCTTATTGTTTCCATGTAATTTTCTGTCAGTTTCAAAATAACTCGTGTCTTGCTTTGATTCATTTGCGAAGCTAGTATAAGAAAATGTTTTCAAAAAAACTCATATTCACGATTTTTTTTACTTTGTAAGATGATGATATTTTATTATTTAAATTTTTTAGTTATTTAATGCTCAATACAAAATTTTATGTTTGTAGTTTGAAGATTTTTATATTACTGATCTTAAAAACTTTTCATTTAGAAATTCTAATAAAATCTAAGAACAATTGAACAACAAATAAAAATTGTACGAATGAAATGCATACAAAATTTCATAAAAAGCCTATATGGAATAATACGATATTGATAATATGAACAGTTTGGATTTTGTGAACAGCCCGTGTAAAAATTACGTTCATGTCACCCAGAGTGCAGCTAGCTTTTTTTACAGGGTGCCGAAAATAATTGTACACTCTGAAATCTCTCCTAGTGAGTTGTTCTTTTTGTAACAGCAAACGAATTCCCCTTAACTTTTGGGGAATGATACTGGAGTTACAGTCCTTGAAAAAAATATATACCTGGGTCATTCCAGTTACGTAGACCGTGGAGTCCCTTACTGTTCCTGGTTATCTACGCAAATGTATTGTAAGTGGAAAACTTCTAATAATGCTCTCCTTATCATTTTTGCCAAAATCGCGGGAGAAATAGAAGAATGAAGTGGCTACCACATACTACTTGGTTGTAAGTATGTCAAACCACGTAAAAAAAAATTCTTAAAATAAATTGTTACAAACATATGTATGTATGTAACTAAAACAAAATATCGCTAGCTTATAGTGAAAAATTGCTATGGCCACTTTTTCAAAAAAAAAAAAATCTATTTTGATGCAAGAAGCAAGAACAGTTTAAAATGCGTCGTGTTCTAAAAGATCGAACTACCTATTTTTTAAGTCCCAAAAAATATAAAAAACTTTGTATTAACATTGTAGAATTTGATTTGTTTGGAGTACGCGCAAACTTGTCTTAAAATTTTAGTTTGAGTTTGAAAGGCTTTTTTTTTCTCCTATACAATTTAATACTGGACTTAGCAACTTTTCACTCTAAACTAGCAAAAGATTAAGTTTCCAAATACAGTAAAAAATACACTTTTACTTAAGCACACATTTTTATTTAAAACTTTCTAATCAAATTTCATACAATATTTATGTTTTAAACTATACATATTTTTTAAGTATAAACTTCCATTCATTGTGGCAAATAATTTTTAGTACATTTCAATATGCATAAAATTTTCACATGCGCATTGTAAATATTTATATAAGGCTATCACATAAAAAGCTCAAAAAAATTGTAGTAGGTAGGTATGAGTTAAGAAAACACAGTACATAAGTAAAATAAATTGCAAAAGCATTCAATTAAATGCATGAAATATACGTGAGAAAAAAATTTGAATTTGGTTCTCGTTATTTTTATACATACACTGCCACCAAAAAGTATTAGTACAGCGAATTTTTCACAGAATATCCACCAATTTCTATTCTTATATTTTTCCGCCAAATTTTTATAAAAATATGGTTCATTCTACCACAAAAATCATAAGAATATATATATTCCTAAACATTGTGAAAAACTCTCGAAAATTCAGCAAATTTTAATCAGATTTTTTAGATTATTTTGAGTATGCGGATTTGTAGCCCAATCAATTTTATTATAATGAATTACAAGTTTTTAGTAGCTAGGAATTACCGTTGATTTTTGGGAATTTTTTTTCACGCAGTCTATTCCATACACACAAATTTATTCGAAAATACTTTATATGGAAAAAATGCAAAACACCCTCAACCAAAAAAAAAAACTCAAAAATCAATACGACTTTTGATTAACTCCGAACTTGCATTTTTTAATAGAATTTAATGGGCTACAAAACTCCAAAAAGTTTAGAAATTAAATTCTTATGTTTTTGTTGTAGAATGAACCATATTTAAAAAAAAAAAATTGCGGAAAATTGGTGCATGTATTGTGAACAATTCGCTGTGCCAATACTTTTTGCCGGCAGTGTATATATTTTTGCTTTGTGTGTTGGTTGAGAAATTAATAAGCATTAAAATAAATTGAATGGCAATAAAAATTAAAAGTTAGGTGCACAAGATAAGAATAATAAGGAGCTTTTCTTCAGAGCAAAATGGAAATTGAAGGACTAAAAAAAATTTCACAAATTAAAATAAACCATCTTGAATGTGCATACGGGCGTTTCCAGCGGAAGGTCTATAGCGAAAAAAATAAAAGTCATATATCGAAGTTGTTTATGAGCCAATTTTGCTGGTTTTATAATATATACCCGTTATGTAAGCAAAAACATTTTTGCCGTCTCGCTAGGTGGCGCCAGGATCGAGATATTTTGAAAAACCGTATCTATGCTCTACAACAATTTTTTATTTGCGTTTTAAATTTATTTAAGAAAAATATTAACGAAAGATTTGCAATAGAAGTTTTAGTAACGTAACACCATGTAACGTCACCTCAGATATTTCGGCTGATAAAAAAAGCAGTAAAGATTTTTACATTTAAAAACTTGGAAAATTTACTTTAAAATTTTCAAATATTACTACAAATAATTCTATACCTTGCCCTATTCGCAGAGTTTTTGCAATTTTGTATTCGAAGTCAATACCCACTTATGATTTTTTGTAACGTCACGCCAGCGCTTATGTTGACTTATATCCTCTTCAATCTCTACAATCAATTGTTGCCACTTTTTACTGAATAAAGAAAGAGCTACTTAATTACTTCGCAAATATTGAACAACCTTTTTAAAATTTCGACTTTTTTCATTTTATTTTTAAACATTTTGTCATCTAAATGTGACGTCACGTCAGATTGGAAATGCCCATATGTATGTACATATGTGTATATATCTACTGAATACATTTGAACTACATTATTTATAAGATTTCTAAGATGCAGCTGCTGGCAGAAATTCAAAAAAAATAAAAATCTTCGAAAAAGTGCATAAGAACCACATCTGTGTTCGTATGGAAAAGTAGCTTATGTCGAAAGGCTGGCTTTAGTATAATGCGGCAATCCCTTTATTTTTTAAACGGCAAGGAATTTTTTGATGAGACTTAATAAGAATATTGACTTGCTAGTATCGGAACTATTTCTTCCACGTTTATTTGCCAAAAGTTGTTCAACGGCTTAGCGCCAGTGAGTCATTCGCAATCGTATGCTGCGAATGCCGATTTATACTAAAGCCAGCCTTTCGACATAAGCTACTTTTCCATATGAACACAGATATATCAAAAGATTTCCTTTCTAAGTAGCGACTGCTTTTTAATTATTCAACATTAGGCAAAATCAGTTTATGTTAAAAAAAAATAAAAAAATAAAAATTCCTTCTAAACTAAAACTAGAAAATGTGTAAAATGCAAGTGTTTTCATTTTTTTTTTTTTCAAAAAGCAATAGAGCAATACAATTTTTTGTGCAGGTTTATTATTTACCAGCAAATTCAAAACAAAATAACAAATACAAAAAAAAAGTAAACTGACAACTAACGGTGTAAAAGTTGTTAAGTACTGGTTTAATACAAGTGTACAAAACCAACAAAAAAAATTTAAATTGACTAACTGACTGAACCAACAATCTGTATTTTTTTACTTTGTAAAAATTAAAAAAGTATCTTGAGCTTTACAAATAATATATTTTAAAATAGAAAATGTGTACAAAAATAGTTACAATCGCAATAAATATTGAATATGCCGCTTGATCCATGCTTGAAATATTAACCAGTTAAATTTGGGTACCCAAGAACGTCAGTAACGTTCCCCAAATAATAGTATTACTAGGTTTTATAATTGTAAAATGTCGTTTTCTTTCTATTTTGGACATTCGCTAAGTACCTTTTTGCCTAAAGATGGATGAGCATTTCATTAAAAAAAAAAGTGGGTTATAACTACAAAAAGTGTGTGTAAGATGGTGTATAAAGAATTAAAAAAAGATAAGCTAACTAGCAGGTTAAGAGACGACGAAATTCTCTAAAAATGTGTTATGTTGTGCCAGTAAAGAAGCATTTTAATACATATATTACGCCTAGGGTTCCTTTTGTTTGAGTAGACCAGCCCAAACACTCCATTGTGCTAAGCGGTTTGGCTTGGTGACCCTCGAAGGCTGGGGAATTTTTTGGAAAACATTTTTATGTGAGCAAATATGGACATTTGGAGCAGGAATGTGTTTGGACAAAATTTTGGTTTAATTTGCAATAAAAATCTTAAAAGTTGTTAGCCAAAAATGCTTGTTTGCGCAGGTGTATATTGAGCTAGTAAATAGACGCTTTTGTGCTTTGCTACAGATTATAATCAGCACACGTAAAAACTTAAACATTAAAAAAAGAAAAACACAAAAAACAGGGCTATCGTCATATACAAGTATGTATGACGCCTTTGCCATATAGAAATTCATGTATGTGTGTATGTGCTATTCTTCATATAAACTTAAGAGCTATGCAATGCTTCACTTAAAAATTTTCATTTTTATCATAAACAGCGTTTTAAGACGGTTTTGTTTTGCAATTCATATAGGTATGTATGTATAAATATGTAGGTAGTATATGTGTTTATAACTATTATAAGGCAATTTTGGTATGCGAAAAGCACTTCGTAAAGGCATTTTCTAAACGCAACAGCACTATAGAAAAAATATCGTTTTAGAATTCATATCGTTTCATATCTTATTAGGTATGGTAAGTACTTTTATCCTCTTTCAATGCGCTCTCTTCTCTCTCTATCTCTCACAACATTAAATGTCTTCGTCTCGGCACATTCATTATTAGCACAACGAATGTCATGCATTTTAAAGTTTCTCATAACGTTGAGACGAGGTAACTTCTGTAAAAAGAATAAAAGAGAAAAGAAACAAATTTGAAGAAAAACCTAAGATGGTAGCGAAAACAAATTATATTTTCAAAAAAAAAACAATGCACTAAACGCAAATTCAACCGAAACCAAATTAAAAGAAATGGAAACAAAAAAAATATTGTACGTAAAACGAAACGCATTAGATGGGTGTGCAACGATTACGAGTGCGGCTTGAAATAATTTACATACAGATGTTTAGGTGGAGTGCAAATAGAAAGAAGGAAGAAGGAAATATAGTTTGAATATTTTAGAAATTGTAATAGCTATAAAGGGTTTTCAACGCCCCATACCTAAATGCTAACAACTAACCAGAAAGTGGGCGATTGGTAAAAAAAAGTGATTATGAAAAAGAGCAAGGTTTGATCCGGTTTTTTTAGTGGTTAATGAATTTATAGACGGCATGAATTTATAATAGCGGGGGTTAGCGACTTGCATTGATCGGGCAATATTTATGTATGATAATGAGTGCTGTTAAATGTTTCAGTTTTTTTTAGTGTTTACATAGCAATACAATAATAAATTAATTACAGGCGCAATGCATAAATATTTTAAAGCCAAATGAAACATGCATACAAATGCGTACATATGTATATGAATAGTATGGTATTCGAGAAAACAAAACAAAAGCGACTTACCGGAACTGTATTGCGTATATTGTTGGTATTGTGGATGAAAATTGTGTATAGCATCTGTCATAATATCCTTGGGATTCATTGTTTCCTGCAAACACAATAAAATGTATTAATTTAATCACTTTAAAATTATATCCGTGAGTTTTTGATATACTTTAAGACTGCTTGAAATCGATTGCATTGTTACAGAGCGACCTTGACCGTCGGCAATACAGCTGCGCGCATATACCTGAAATTAGATGAGGAAGGAAATTGTTAATTGAAATTTGAAAGAGTAAAAATAATAAACAAGTTAAAATTTCTTAAAGAAAACGTCAAAAATAAGAAATTATCTTAATATAAAAAAATTCCGTGTCACTGTGTTCGTTTACGCTTATCTCCGAAGCCAATTCATTGAAATTTTGTGGGTGTGTATGGTTGGTTCCAACTTAAAAGATAGGATACACTAGACGCGGAAAGATATTCGCGCTCTAAATGACATAAATACACTGGTTTTGAGACTCCTACTTAGTTTTAAAATTATGTACTTGTAGCTCAGACAATATTCTTCATTCCCGATGCCCACAAATACTCCGCCTGCAATGGCTTTTCGAAATTCTTCAGTTTGCCAGGCTTGCTGAAATAACTTGTTTTAGCACGTGTGACTGTGCTTTTAGCCTAAAGTAGGCTTATAATTGTTAATTCGTTGCAAAGTAGCCAGGGACCAAAAATAAGCGGCTCAAGGCCGGAGTTAAAAAAAATCGCAGTCGATACTTTTACTGTGGGGCTATTCAGCGATATTGAAGTCGAAGTGTTGAAAACATTTTAATAGCTGACTTTTGTAGATCTGTTTGTATTAAATAAACCTAGCCTTGTGATCATTAAAAATCTATGCAAAATATTTCTATATTAAAGTACCTACTTTTAAATACAGTGGTGGCCACATAATTAGGGACTCCACTGCTTTACAAGTTTGACCATTTATTTTTAATAAATTTGTTTACAAAAATACAGTTTATACCGAAAACTATGTAAATCAAAGTTTCAAACCTTAAACAAGATTTATGAAAATTCGCCGCATATCAAAAAATGGCTCTAAAATTTTGGTAATACTTGTGTATTGCAGCATATTAAATTTTAGTACATATAATATTCTGCAAGCTTCAAACGGCTAAGAATTTGCATTGATTTGTGAGACTTTTTTTTTGCTGACGGTGCTACGTATACAAAGTATGTATGTTCGACAATTTTTTTATACGGGAGAAAATGAGTAACACCGCCAGCAAAAAAAAAAATCTCAAAAATCAACGCGATTTTTTTCTAGAAATTCTGGTTAAAAAGTTGGAAATTTGTATGACCATTTTTAAAAATTTGGCGAAATTGAGCTTTGAGTTGCAGGGGTTTCGTTGTGGTATAAACTATATTTTTGTAAAAAAAAAATGTATTAAAAATAAAGAAAAAATAGCCAACACTTGTAAACAGTAGTGTCCGTAAATATGTGGCCATTATAATTGCTAATTTTACGGGCAACTTTGCAAACTTGTTTCCCCCTATAAACGTTGACAGCGCACACTTTTCGATTACCATACAGACCATTAGTTAATTAGCATAAAATCAAACATTTGCTTTCGATATTTACCAATAACGCTTAGGGCTGTTAAAAAATAAATAATAATAGTGCAAATATCGCTAAGATATAAAGATATCATGCGAAAAGCGCACACAAATGTTAAAGAGTAATGGAAATCAAAAGCAAATAAAAGAAGAAAAAATACTACTAAATACGCGCCACGCTCCAATGCCTATCTACATTTCGCTTCGCAGATAAACACTCAATTTCAATTTATGTGAAACCTCCACTTTCAATTTTCACTCTACGCAAGTCTACATTCAAACTTCACACTTTCTACATGCTGAGCTAGTAACAGCTGTACACCAGCCAACATTTGCAAACTTCGAAGTGTTAATTGCTTGCGAAATATTATTATTATTATTTTACGTTTATCTTATCAATGGCAATAATACATGCATACATATGTTGAGCGAGCATGCCTGGCAAATGTTAACACTGAAATACTTAGTTGTAGGTATAGTTGCAACTATGTCGGTATTACTCATGATTGTAACCAACTATTTTACAAAGAAAACTAATTATTCAAATAAGTGAAGTAAATATATGGTGGTTTTGCTCACCTGATAGGGGAAGGCATAGCGTAACGCAATCGCAGCAAATAGCATTTCAATGCAAATGAAAAAGTTCTGATAGCCCGCCGAGACAGTACCAGCTGAGGTGTGAGTGCCAGCACTGTCGACGATCGGCGAGATGACCTTGGCCTTCTCCAAAATGGCCAACATCACACCTGGCGAGAGGCAAAAGCAAATTATTAGTAAACAAAACAAAAGGCAACAATGATTTCGGATGACTCACCTTGCCAAAATGATAAGAAGATAATCGATTTGATTGTACAAAACTTCAGCACAGGCTCAAAGGGTGTTAACAAATCACGCGTAGCAAAATAGAATAAGTACAAGCCGTAGAGGGCAAGAGTAACGGATATATTGTAGATGACAGTAATGTAAATATAGCCACCATTGGCGCTGTAGAATATATCGTAATTTAGCAATTGACTGCACAGTCACGAATTCGAATAAGTAAATAGAAAAATTTACCTCCAATCACCATCGTGATAGTGGCCAAAAGCTTGCAGGAATATAATAATAAACGCCACAAGCGGCTTCACCAAGCAGAATTGCAATGTAGCCTGCTTGCAGAAGCGTAGGAAGCCGATGGTATATGTTTTACCTCTTAGGCAGCAAGTGCCATAAAGACACGAGCTTTTAATGGGTTTGCCACGTATCTCGGACATAATGTTGCCCTCGCCACCAAGGTACTCGTAGCATAGCGACAGGAAACTGTAGATGACAAAAGCTAGAAGAATGAAGAAAAACGAGATATATTTCATATGCATTCTACTTTATGTGAAAATAGCAAATGTATCGCTGCAGGCGCTGCAGACTTACCTTCATAGCAATCACGTACGGTAAAGAAATACACGTACACATTATCTGAATTGAAGAAAAATAAACTGATCCACGAGTATGTCGCATACATGGGCACAATAAATAGGATACGTACTATCCAACGTTGCTCCTGTGGATTTGTATACCAACGCAGGTGTTGATAAATCTATTTGTTAAAGAAACGTTTAGAGCAAAAGAAAAGCATAAAGGTTATAAGTTAAGCAAACCAGTTATTAGGTTAAGTCAAATAGTATTGCCCACCTGTTGGCATGTGATAAAGAGTGCCGCCCACACGAATACAGTCGCAAGTCCTTGAGCGGTCTTTGTTTGCAGGAAGATACCATCACCGACGTGACTGAGCGGATCAATGGGCGACGACATTGGTTTGGCTTGTACAATAAAATTCGGTTTTAAGGTTGTCGATTCGGTCATCATCGATGCGACGGCGGCAGCTGCGGCTGCTGCTGTGCCATTCGGGTCAATGAAACTGGCTGGACTGGGCGCTGTGCTACTCACAACGCTGCTCATACTGTGAGTGGAACAATAAATCAGCGGTTAATGAAGGAATGTAGCCGTAGGTGATGCCGGAAAAGAGAAAGAAAAAACGTAAGTTGATTAGTAAGTTTTCATCAATGAGTAAGTATTTCAATTTATATTTATTCTGCTGCAAACTTTGTTGTTTTGGTGCAATCGATAGCTAAATAATAATGTATTATACTACATACATTTCATATCCCACTGGGAAAATAGGTAAACACCTTACGAGCAAATCAATGTTTTCTTTCAGCTGTTAGTACCAAAATTGTCATCATGACCAACTTCATCTATTAGTAAACCACAAATTGAATTCCTCCGATGACGCCTTACGTTGTAAGTTGCAAAATAACGTGCCGCCGAAGTTATTTCCGAGCGGCACCTCTACATACATACATGCCTGATACCAGATGTACATTATAAATTCCTACTTCCAACAATGCGGCCACGCCTTTGTTAGAGTAAGAGAGATTCAGCAGGAAAGTGGCAAGGACCGCCAGTTGAGTGTAAGTTGTTGGTAAGGCATTACTAAGTGATCCTATTTCCTATGGGTGTTGTACGATTAACACATAGATTTCGGAATTTTATATTCTATGTTTGGTTGGTACATGTATCATTTGTGCCGTGGTTTAATAGCTTGAATAGGACCAGAGCCCTTCCTTGCTATAAGACGGCATTCTAGCAGGGAAGGAAATAGGAACTAGTTCATATAGTTGCTGCGATATGGGGACAGAAAACCCACTGTCATGTGAAGCCGCTATTCTATTTAATAATTTTTTTTTTTTAGTTTTTGTGAAAATGAGCGTTTAGGAGAAGATTCCGCATCTTTTAAGCAAGGTAAAGAGAAACCTCTTAAACGCTGATTTTTAGCTCAAAAGGTAAAATCAGAAACGGGATCCACACACGAAGTGTTTGAAAATTAAAATTACATATAAAAGTTGAATTTTGAATTCAACTAAAACTTTGTAATGTAATACCTGGTTTTCATTAGGTCATATTTGACGTCAAATGCTGTCAAAATAATGAAAATAATGAAATAAAACTTTGTAATGTAATGCCTGGTTTTCGTTAGGTCATATTTGACGTCAAATGTTGTCAAAATAATGAAAACAGGTGGTCACCTGGTCTCATTTGCGTTTGTTGTCATATATCACGAGGCACGGTCATATGAAATGACAGCCCAGTGAAAACTGCCCTTAAGATTCTGTCTGATCCTCCAAACGAAGGCTTAAAAAAGTTTTAAACGCATATCTTTGCTTCTCTTGCTGGAGTCCATTAAAGAAAGAACGTCTGATTGAATGAAAAATTAACTTGCGCTTAAAACCGAGCTTCACAAGTAAAAAGTTATCTGCTTACCTAAAAACAGCATGCAATGAAATAAAAAAAAAATGCGTTTTCGGTTCTTGCAGGCTTGAAAATGGATTACTTGATATAAGAACAACAAAAATATTCGTTTAAAACTTTTTAAAACCACATTTCATACTAGTTTCGGGTTAAAAAATAAATAAATAAAAAATTTAAAACCTATTTTTGAAGGTCAAGGAAATTCTTTTATTCAACGTAAAATTTTTCCTGAATTCTCCATCTGAAAAGCTTTTAATGTCGTTACATTTCGTTATTTCGCTATCACTTCTCCTTCTGAAATATTTGATTTTGTCGCTTTTTTTCTAAAATAGAATACAGTGCGACGTTTTGGATTTCCCTTACACCTTCGACGGAATGAAAAATTGTGTGTAAATAATAAAAAAAGCAAAGAAGGCAGAAAATATTGGAATAAAAACTTTGAAGCAAAGATTTAAAGCCTAAAAATCTTCGATTTACAATTAGGAACTTAATAGATAATTTTGGCGTGTAGTATGAATCAATTCAAACACTTTTTAAATATAATGAATTTTTTCTCAGAATATGAGTTTTTTGTTTGTTTTTCATTCGAGACATTTCAGTGACTTTTGGCTAACTCGGGAGACATCATTTCGAATATATTAACAAGGTTCTTTATGAATAGGTGTGAGAACTGAAAGTCATTTGCGGAGTCAAGTCCTGCGACTGTATTAATAGCGTCCGTCTATACGACAGAAATATGTAGCTCATTTCCACCATGTCTTTAGGTTAGATTTTGGGGGCGCATGCGAAGAATTCCATACATAATTGCCATCCATAAATTCTTAAGGGTGAGACAGCTCTGGCCAAGAGTATATGAACGTATAAATGCGTTACCTAATTGAACCAGGTGAAATTCAAAAGGAGCGATGGTTATTCCAAAACTTCTACACTTTTTTACGGATCGCGGGGAATTTGTTTTTCTAAATTCAAAAAAGAAAAATTATTTTGAAACAACAACCGCTATTTTTCCTCGCACATACTACAGTTTTAAAGAGTTTTAAGAGTTGCTAAGTCACTTTAATTTTACTATATTTCTTTTCTTAGAATATTTAACTATATATGTATGTATTTACTTGTAACTATTATAGACACTATCTATACAATCGTGTGACCCAACAATCGAATGTCAACGTCAAATCCCCTTTATATTAACACTGAAGTATCAGATTTATTTACTACTCGAAACAAATATTTACAGATAATTTCTGATTAACTAGAAGCGAATACCGTTTCGTCAGAAAACAGTATTTGCTTATAGCCTACATTTTACAAATTTTAATACTTTGATAAGAATGTCGTAAACTCAAAGTAACTGAGCAAAATAATTCTGTTCAATAACAAAAGCTTTGTTTCTTAACAGATAATTATCACAAATTATTACTGGATTCTGCTGGAAAGCGTTTCTTAACACAAAAAATTTGCAGAAGAGAGCCAAAAAGAGAGCATAAAAGCCCGAGAGAGCTGCAAATTTCTGCTGGCGAAATTTCTGCCAACGGAAATTTGCAGTCATATGTTTAAGAAGCAGCTGTTCAAAACGCACATGGAAAAAGTTGGCAAGTTTACTTCGTTTTAATAAAACAAAATGAGTGCATCGTTATCAAAACACATTGAAATATTGCAGAATGTAATACCGTGTTCTGACCGACAACGAAAACATTTTGAAAACGAGTTTTGGGATTGTGGGCTGAAGGCTGTTCACACCGGCTGTTAGTGTTTTTGTTGACATTTCTTGCAACCTCTGGTTACATTTATGCTACACAAAAACAAAACCAAAATGCTTTTCCCTCATTTTCTATTTATTAGCAACCTCTTACTTTCATTCTTATTTTACTTTGACCAGCCAATTAAAAATAAATCCGAAATAGCGTATTAAAGATGACAAAATATGACTTCCACTTCGATAAATAATCGAAAAAAACTAGTAAAGACACCGATTGGAATGAGTGGAACGTGAGTTTTCAAGTAGTTTTTAGCGGAAACAGGTTTTCGTTAGACAGATTTTACATGGACGAAAACACAAGTTTTAGATCGAAAACCAGTTTTAGCAACGAAAACATGTTTTCGATGTCGGTCAGAACATGGTATAAGGATTTGTGCATGCATTTGAAGATGTGTGTGTGTGTATACTGTGATTGCAAACAGGGTTGCCACTGAGGAATAAAAATACTTACCATCCAGTTGAAAAAAATCTACCAAATCTAGAAAATATCTACCAATAACTTGTTTTAGTTATTTTGATAAAAACTATTGTTTTGTTCTATTTTTTTAGTTATTTCAATAAAAATTAAAATTGTTTTTAAAGAAGTTTTTGTTTAACTAATGATATTGTATTTGAGATCATATTAATGGCATCTTTTCGGCTTGATGATTTTTTGTAACATTCATAACGTTTTTCAAGTACATAAAAGTTTATAGGTATTTTTTTGTATAAGAATATTGTTTGCGTTTCAAACGAACTAATAAAAATAAACGATTGAAACAACATGCAACATTCAGAAAAATTCAATACTCTGAATTTTTAGAACAATTTAAGGTATGGAGTTTTATTGCCCATCGAATTTTAATATAACCAACAGCTAAAAATCCCTGTTGATTTTTTTTATTTTTTTTTGCCGCTGGTTTTTTGTTTTTTGGTTTTTTTTCATTTAACATTTTCCATTGATAAAAAATGGTGTTGATCTTTTTTGCCAACAATCATATTGCGTAATTATTTAGAGAATCATTTAAAATATTTAGGCAATAAAAAGCACCCAAGGATTCTAGTAAAATGAGTTTTGAAATGAGCACGATATGTTCGCCTTTTATCGATATACATTTATTTACACTCTTGCCAACTTAGTGCTTTTCCCACTAAATTTAGTGCTTTTCAAAAAAATACGTGGCAGCACTTTCAATCATGCCAGAATTAATAATAATAATAATAGATAATCAAATTTTATTATGTTTCAGGTGTGAAGCGGTCGGAAAGAATAGTTCTTTACGTTCCTATAGTTCACGAGATCAAAAGAGACTACAGTGTACACTTAAACTTCCACATAGTTCATGAAATTTAATTTTTTGTTGTTACTTTCGTTTGATAGGAATTGAAGAAAAAATTAAGCAAAACGACTAAAAATTAGAAAACAAGAGCCCAAATTTTTACGTCGCGTCATTTTGACGAAAAGATTTGAATTTATAGAAAACCGAATAAATTCGACCGCCGAGCAAGAAACATTAATTTTTATTAATTTGAATCGGCATACCTACAATAAAATTTTGTATGCATTCAAAGTCCATTAAATCCTCCAAAATTTGGTGCTTTTTTCGAGAAAAAAACGCGATTTTTCTTGGGTTTTAGTGCTTTTTCAAATTCAGAACTAGGCAACACTGTTTATGTATAATATATATTGTATATGTATATAAAAAGTGTGCATTAAAGCGTTCAAAAATTAAAGAAATTTTGGATAGAAATTTATAATATAAAGATAACTACAAAAAATAAAGCGGGAACGAAAAGTGTTATTTTTTTCCAACAAAAATCTACCAAAATGAGAAAAGATTTACCTTTTCACTAACGAAAATTGTATCTACCAATTTTGGTAACAATTCACCAAAGTGGCAACCCCGATTGCAAATTTCTGCTGGTTTTCGTTTCAT